GTCTGCCCGGTCCGCGCCTGCCGCTCTGCCCCGGGATTGGAGCCCGCCGCGACTCACGGAGGAGCCGCGTCTGCGTGCCTGCCTGCTGCTGGGAAGCTGGCCCCCCTACGGACCTCCTGCCGAGCCCTGCCAGCCGCATCCCGGGAACCACACGCTACGGAAGGGTAAACGCACACACACTAACTTTCCTGCCGGGCTCAACTCCTACCCTTTTACTCCATTGATTCCACACCTTTCCCTCGGAGTGTGCATTTAATAAGACTATAGTACCTTTGAATTATTTTCCTTATATATACCTAGTCTGCCTCTCCTAAACCTTGGTCCCTTAGTTTTGTATTAATCCTTAATAAACCAGTTGATTTGTAATCTAAACATTGGTCTTAGTAACAATTTGTGAGCGTGGTAAGGAGGGGTATTCTGAAATACTCTAAAATACAGTCCTGCAGCGGCGGTTCCTCTGTGAGAGGCCAATGCCACGTGTGAGCCCTCGGGTTCACTCACAAAGCATTGGGGGGGAATGTCGCAGAAGCATCCTGACAGCCAGTAGCCCCCCCTAGCATCAGTTCACGACACCAGGTATTAAACAGAATTGGCCCCAATGCTGAGCCATGGGGAACACCACTTGTGACCAGCTGCCAACTGGATTTAACTCCATTCACCACAACTCTTTGGGCCCAGCCATCCAGCCAGTTTTTTACCCAGCAAAGAGTATGTCCATCTAAACCATGAGTAGGCAGTTTCTTCAGGAGAATACTGTGGGGGACGGTGTCAAAGGCTTTACTTAAGTCCAGGTAGACAACATCCACAGCCTTTCCCTCATCCACTAAGCGGGTCACCTTATCATAGGAGGAGATCAGGTTAGTCAAGCAGGACCTGCTTTTCATAAACCCATGCTGACTTGGCCTGATCACCTGGTTGTCCTGCATGTGACACATGGTGACATTCAAGATGATCTGCTCCATAACCTTCCCTGGCAGAAAGGCCAGACCAACAGGCCTGTAGTTCCCTGCATCCTCCTTTTGGCCCTTATAGATGGGGGTCACATTTGGCAATCTCCAGTCTATTGGGACCTCCCCAGTTACCCAGGACTACTGGTAAATGATGCAAAGTGGCTTGGCAAGCACTTCTGCCAGCTCCCTTAATACCCTTGGGTGTATTCCATCGGGCTCCATAGGCTTGTGTATGTCTAAGTGGTGCAGGAGGTCGCTAACCATCTCCTCTTGGATTGTGGGGTCTTCAAACTGCTCCCTATCCCTGTCTTCCAGCTCAGGGGAGTGGGTAATCAGAGAATAACTCATCCTACTACTAAAGACTGAGGTAAAGAAAGCATTAAGTACCTCAGCCTTCGCCTCATCCTTTGTCACTATGTTTCCTCCTGGATCCAATAAAGGATAGAGATTCTCCTTAGTCCTCCTTTTGTTGCTAATACATTTGTAGAAGCATGACAGCTGCAGCCAGGTTGATTTCAAGTTGGGCTTTGGCCCTTTTGATTCTCTCCCTGCATAGCCTCACAACATTTTATGTCAGTGAGTTCCCAGAATTCTTTTACATAGTAATTTTATTTCCTGAAATTGGCTATCTTTGTAATTATGCGTGCTCGAGGGTCTCCTGTGGGGGGCTTTGTTGATTCTAGTCCTTTGTCATCTTTGTCCTGTCTCTCATCCTGGTCCTGTCACCAGTCTGCCACTGGTAGATTGCCCAGGTGGGTCAGAATCCACATGAGTGTTGTCTG